TTGTTGGTTCAAATTCTGATACTTTCACCTTTAAAGGTGTGACAGAAGCAGAACACTGATTTACTAGTTTAGGCTAAACATGTTTGCTTTCTGGAAGTAATGAATTGATGTTATGAAATTTCAGATGGCTGTATCACAAATTGTTAATCATGAATTTTAAGAGTAAATGGTGGGATAAATTGTTGATTTGAGGTTTTCCTTTGTCTACCTACTTGTTATTACAGGTGAAGGCATGGGCAAAACTTTTAAATACCTTTTGCACCAGTGGGAAACTTGAGCTGGAACTCATATATAAAGTCCAGATGCAATGCTATGAGGATGTCAAACTGATGAAGCTGCTCCCTGAGATCATAAGATCTCTCTATGATCAGGATGTACTTGCAGAAGACACCATTCTTCACTGGTTACGCAAAGGAACAAACCCTAAGGGCAGGTATGCAAGTCCATTTTCATATATGCTATCATATTAAGAATTATGATGTTTGTTGAGGAAAATAAGAATTGACCCGTATATTTTTATATTCTTGTCTCCTTGCAAGTTGCAAATGTACCTCATTTTTGGTTTTTGAACATTTTGTTTCTGCATGTGATAATGATTTTAATGCATTGGCAATTGGTACAGACAAACATTTGTGAAGGCCTTGGAACCCTTCGTGAACTGGCTGGAAGAAGCAGAAGAGGAGGAATAAGTTGGACCTTGTTCCCCTGGTTTTATTAGCCTGTATCCATTCTTGAGATGTAACTTGACATAAGATCTCAAGATCCTTTGATATTTAGTGTGATGTGAACGAACCTTATGGTGGATTCCCCTGCAATAATCAGTTTCTCTATATTCTCGTGCGTATGTTTCTTCTATCTATCTGCTTATTCACTATTGAAATTGGCTGATCAATTAGCATATTATTTTGGATTAAGGTCCCCAAGTTCATCTCTCAACCCAAGAACTTTACGACTGTTTGCCCTAAGGGCGTGTCTGGTTCACCCCTTTCTCTAAATCATAGGAACGTGGGACATTGGATCAACGAGCAACTTGCTTGCGCAACTCCAGTAACATCCCTGGAGTTTCGCTCTGCTTGCTTGTTTAGGTGGTAGGGAGGAGGAACACTTGGTCACAGTTTTTTCAACATCTCTTAAATAAAACATATGCCGCGTTAATCAAATCGTCGAATAGTCTCTTGTACATCTTCAATGTTAGCAACTAGCTTGTTTCTTTAGGATTATAAATGCGGGATTCCCATTCAATGACTAGAGAAGATCCCCCACGGTGAGCGTGGATTCAGTGGGGGGTTGTGAAGTAACTGTGAAACAAAGGCATTAAGTAACAATTGAAACCCGCAGTAGAATAATCTCAAAATCAAAACAAATACCCCACTTGCATTTGTGATACGAAGCTTGAATCGCTGAAATTGTTTATTGTGAAAAGAAATACAGTCTCAAATGAGAAGTTGGTTTTGCTACAGAAGATGAGAACACATAGAATGTGTGACTGAAAACCGATAATATGGTAATTTCCTCCTACACAGTCAAAACACCTACTGATGTTATATACAGACATGACGAAGAACCCTCATGCAGCTCGAGATGACACCTTGTTTAACACACAGCCATGATGAAGAAGAACCTGCTCTAACCTCCAAACTTGTTCCAAAGAAGAGGGAATTGAAACAATGTCCAAGGCCGTGCAAAGCCATAGGCCTAAATGATTTGTTTACATTTTATTGTTGCTCTCTAAATGGAACAGGAACAAGGAAGAAAAACCTTCTGCTGCTCCAGCATCTTATTTTCTATAAGGTCATTGTCAGCAGATAAATTTCTGCTTGAAGGTTCAGTTGATCCAACGGAAGCAGTTGGTTCTCAGCCCTGCAATTGAGAAGGGAGAAGAATGATCAAAGCGAAGTCGTAGGATAAGAAATCGTAGCAAATAAAAGAATCATCCTATTCCTATATCAAGGATAAACTGAAGTGTGTGCATACTGTACATGCCTCATGTTGATTGTTTTGAAGAACATGATGAACAGAACAGCTATATACCAGCTTGGAGAAGGTAAAAGAGATTTCCTTAAGAACTCCTCTCTTCGGTCTCCACCTACCTTTCCAAAATGAAAATATATATACGTTGATTGACATGCCTGCCAAATCCCACGACAACATCCAACAATAAAATGTAGTAGCATCCTAAATCAAGATGCATGCTAGTTTTCTGTATATCGGCAGCAGAAATAGCTATAGGCATGACCAGACATCACCAAGAGTTAAACGACACTGAAGAGAATGAGAAAAAAATTCTCTGCTTTAGAAAAATTTCCATGTGAGAAACTAGGAATTCAGTAATCAAGAGGAAATAATGGCAGTCATATTCTTCTAAACACCACAGTTTTAAAAAAAAAAGCGAATGTGTTTACATACCATCACTTGTGCAATAACTCTGCTTTCTCCAATAGCACATTTCGAACCATAAAGTAAGTTTTATATGTGAAACAATTAACATTCCATGTGATGTCCAAATATTCTCAGGGCTTGTCATGTCTCCTTCAAATTAATTACTCACAAGTCACAAAGCCTGGAAAAATATAATCAGCAAGTCAAGGCCTATGATGAACTACAATGGAATATGAAACTCCAAAAAACGGAAGGCAGAAACCATCTGCGTACCAATTTAGATGAAAAGAAACCAAAAAACCGGCAACTGATATGGCAAAAGAGAAATGAATTCTCAAGTTATCCCTGAACACAGAAGGGAGTAGAAAGTTGAGTAACAATAACACATGAGAGCAACCAGATCCATAAAACTGCATAAAGAAAAAAGCAACTTTTAACAGGCTCAAAAGCGATGCATTAAGTTACCGAGTGGCAGTCCAGGGAATAAACTCTTTTATCATTATGTTGCCCGTGGGAAAAGATGGTTATTCACATTAAGATGGTCTTCACTGCTGTGCATCTTCTTGTGAGATCTTCATCTGTGTTTTTAAATAATACAAAGGTATCTGGAAAGTAAGGTAAGACATAACAACCATTGAATAAGACATCAATCTAATGCAAAACCACAATTGCCAATTTCTTGAACACCATCAACAATCGAAACATAACACGCGCACATGCCTTCAATAAAGTAATTGTTGTTCAAAACTATACAAAAACCCCTTATATCAAGTAAGAACAACCCCATTACCAACGCATGGACATGGACCATCAGCTCTTTTGCATTTTGCAACAATTTGAGTCCCAGTGCACAGGTGCTTAAATAAACGTAACATGATGATGATAATAGAGTAGAATTTTGCATACGTCAACTCCCAAATGCTGCAGTCAGTCAATCCGACCAAAAAGCATAGTTCCAAAAAAGCTTCAATTTCTGCTGGGTTTGCTGATAATAATGCTTCAATTGGTCCCTGCCAAGTAAAGGAAATAACATGTACAATTGTACCTTTAGGCAAAAACATTATTTTGCTTTTACACAAAAGTTTGATTGTTGGAAAGGTAAAATTTAGGGGGGGAGTTGGAGGGGTGAATTACCCTTTAATAACTAGTTATATATCTTATGCTGAGTACGAAAGAATTTCCAAATATTTCCTTCTTATTCTGTAACTAATTGCCAAAGGACTAGTTGCCTATCAGAGTAATTTTTTTTTTTACTTCAAACAAAGAAATATTCTCAATTTAATAGAAGAATTTACTTACGAATGCATTATTTATAGTCACGGCACTGCCCTCCAAATGAATGGCACAACCAAACATCTCCAC